GAAGAGTCAATGAAAGGAACTTTCTCCTTACAGAAGTATTCTACCTCAAAAATGTAGAAAAGTCAGTGCTGGAAAACTGGTAGCTGGCAATCCCTTACAGGTGTAGGCACTGGGCACAAATAGATGCTAATACCACAGAGAGTGAGACAAAGCCGTTAAGTGCCGCCTGTGGGAAAAATACACCAATCCACATTAAACCTCTAGATAATTTCATGGCAGACATGGGGACAGAGGGACTTAAGAAGTGCTCAGCAAAATGCAGTGTGGAAAATGTGACAGGAAAAGTGAGCCAGAGTCTTCAAGAAATTTCCTGCAAGAGAGGCAGAGAGAATGCGAATGCCCACAGATTAGAAGAAACTTAAGAGACACAGCAACCAATTGCCATGTGGAGACCTTTTTTTGGATCCTGATTTAATAAACAAATTATTATTTTTTAGAAAAAGCCAAGTGAAAGTTTGAATACTCAACTGGTCATCTGATTTTGTTAAGACAGCAACGTTAATCTGGGTTAGGGAGTAGGCGATGATATTGTGGATGTGTTAAAAATAAAAGAGCAGAACTGGGTGCAGTTTTAATTTCAGGGAAATTAGAAAATTATTTTGTACTGAATGAAAATGAAGATACAATATATCAAAACTTATGGGAAGTGGCTAACACAGTGCTTAAGGAGAAATTTATAGCTTTAAACATGCATACCAGAAAAGAAAGGTAGCTCTAATAAATAACACAAGAACAAGCTGAACATAAATCAAGCAGAAGAAAGGAAATCACAATGATAACAAAAAAATAACAGAAAACAGAAAAACAAGAAAAATCAGTGAACCAAATAGTTCTTCAAAAAGGTTTGTCTAAAAGACAAACCTTTAGCTAGATAAATCAATTAAAAAAGAAAGAGAACATAAGTTACAAAAATCAAGAATAAAAGATGAGCTACTCACTGCCAGCCTCAGAAGAATTAAAAGGATTATAAGGGAATATAAAACAACTTTAGGTTGACAAATTAGACAACTTAGATGAAATAAAAAATTCCTCAACAGATCTATATTACCAAACGGACTCAATAAGAAACAGAAAATATGAGTAGACCTGTAGCAAGTAAAGAAACTGAATCTGTGATCTAAAACCTTCCCATAAAGAAAAGTCCAGATAGTTTCATTGAACTCCCATGCATTCTATCAAATATTCAATAAAGAAATACTGATCCTTCACAAATTATTTCAGAAAATAGAGGAGGAAAGAACACTTCCCAACTTACACTTGTAAGTCCAGACGTACCTTCAAAACTAAGACACATAAAGACATCACAAGGAAATAAAACTACAGACCAATATCTTTCATAAACATGGGTGCAAAATCCTTAACAGAATATTAATATAATCCAGCAATATATAAAAGGGATTATACACCATGATCAAGTGGGATTTATCATAGGAATGCAAAGTTGGTTTGACATCTAAAAATGTAATATAATACAATGAAAATCAGTGCAAAATATTAAAATAATGGATAAAATGCACACAATCATCTCAACAGATGCAGAAAAAAAGCATTTAATAAAATCCAACCCCCATTCCTGCTAAAAATCCTACATGAATTAGGAATAGAAGGGGATGTTCTCATCATGATAAAGAACATATTTATCCCTAATGATAGAGTGTTTTTTCTCCTAAGATGGGGAGCAGGGCCAGGAATCCATTCATGACACTCCTGCTTAACACTGTACTAGAGATGCTAGCTAATGCAATAAAAAAAAAAGAAAAAAAAAAAACATAACTAAAGGCATACAGATTGGAAAGGAAGAAGTCAAACTGTCTTTGCAGATGACATGATCCTGTACGAAGAAAATCTAAAGGATTTTACACACACACACACACACACACACACACAAACATACACACACCCCACAGCTGACCCCCTTGTCTACAGTTTCACTTTCTAGGTTTTAGTTACCTGCAGTTAACCATGGTCTGAAAATATTACATAGTTTATGATATTCTGATAGAGACACCACGTTCATATAAGTTGCATGACAGTATATTGTTATAATAGCTCTATTATTAGTTATTGTTGTTAATCTTTTATGGTGCCTAATTTATAAATTAGACTTTATCATGGGCAGGTATGGATAGGAAGAAACATAGCATATGTAGGGTTTGGTGCTATCCACAGTTTCAGTCATCCACTGGGGGTCTTGGAACGTGTCCCCTGTGGATAAGGAAATGAGAAATTGACAAGCTAGGCTGGGCATCGTGGCTCATGCCTATAATCTCAGTACATTTGGAGGCCAAGGTGGGAGGACGGCTTAAGCTCAGGAATTCAAGACCAGTCTAGGCAACATAGTGAGGTCTCGTTTCTACGAAAAAAAAAAAAAATTAGTCATATGTGATGGCTTGTGTCTGTAGTACCAGCTACTTGGGAGGCAGAGGCAGAAGGATTATTTGAGCACAGGAGGTCGAGGCTGCCGTGAACTGTGATTGTGCTACAGTACTCTATCCTGGCTGACAGAGTGAGCCCCTGTCTTAAAAAAAAGAAATTGACAAGCCGATCCTAAAACTTGTATAAAATTGTATATGTACTAAGAGCCTAAAATAGCCAAAACCATTTTGAGAAACAAAAACAAAAAACAAAAAAAACAACAAAGTTGGAGGAATCAGACTACTTAATTTGAAAAGTTCCTTCAAAGTCCTAGTACCAAAGACTGTGTGGTATTGGTACAAGAGTAAACACAGATCAGGAAGTAAATTTTTAAATTTATGATCAACTGATTTTTGACAAAAGTCTCATGATAAATCAACAGGAAAAGGCTTGCGTCTTCCACAAAAGGTGCTGGGACAATTGGATTATCTATATGTGGATGCTCTTACCTCTCACAGTACACAAGAATTAACTGTTGTGTACTCTTGTAACTCTTGTGTAATTAATTCAAAATTGATCATAGACCTAAATGCAAGGGCTAAGGCAACGATGCTTCTAAAAGAAAGCATAGGAGAAAATCTTCATGATCTTGGGTATGACACTAAAAGCATGATTCACAAAAGAAAAAACTGACAAACAGGACTTTATCAAAATACAAAACGTCTGTGATTCAAAAGATCCCACGAAGAAAATGAAAAGATAGGCCAAACACTGGGGGAAAAAATTTGTAAATTATATATCTGATAAAGAACTTATATATAGAATATATAAAGAGCTCTTCAACTAAATAGTAAGACAAACAATCTAATTTACAATTGGCCAAAATATTTGAAAAGATGTTTCACCATAGAAGATATAGGAATGACTAACAGCCACATGAAAAATGCTCAACATCAATAGTGACTATGGAAATGCCATTTAAAACCACAGCAAGATTCCATGACTCCCCTATTAGAATGACTACAATAAAAAAAGACAGATAATAGTAAGCATTGGTAGGGGTGCGGAGATACCAGAACCCTTACACATTGCTGGTGAGAATGGAAAACAGTACAGCCACGTCGAAAAGTAGTTTGGTCATTCCATAAAGTTAAACATAAGTTTATCATATAATCTACCAACTCTGTTCCTGGGAATTTACCCCAGAGAAATGAAACATATATCTACAAAAAGACACATAGAAGGAGGAACCAAAAAAAATCCCAGAATTCTCTTTTGGAGGACAGGCTCCTCGAAAAGGGTTTTCCCTGCTAGTTAAGTGTTCTAGGAACCCAGCGGCATCAGTGCACGAGGTAGCATTGCTGTGAAACTCTGTGTTGCAGAAGAAACGTCCTGAGTTATGGCACACAGGTGACTGGTTCTTCCCCGTGACAACCACACCTGCCTCCACTGTGCTGAATGATCAGAGTTTTTGACCCAGAATAGCATGACCCCTAGGCCCCACCCTCCTAATTCACCCGATCTCACCCTAAGTGACTTTTCTTGTTTCCTCAGATGAAAAAGGGAAATGTCTTGCCGACGTGGAAGAGGTGAAACAAAAGACAGCAGAAGCACGAAAAGCCATCAAAACTGAAAAGTTCAAAAACCGTCTTGAGCAGTGGAAAAGTGTCTCGATAGGTGTACTGCATCAGAGGGAGAATATTTAAAGGCGACTGGAGTTTAAACATAGAAGAATAAACACACAACTTTTTATAAGTAAATTCGAGGGTTTTCGGTCCCTCCCTCATAGATGAATGTTCACAGCTTATTCATAGTAGCAAAAAATCAGAAACGATCCAAAGCCATCATGAACTGATGAGTACGTTAACAAAATATGCATATATCCATAATACGCAATATTCTCCAGTGATTAAAACATATATATTACCGCTACATGCACAATAATGCAGATTAATCTCGAACCCTTATTCTCAGTGAAATAAGCCAGATGCAACAGCCTACATATTGCATGACTGCATCTACGTGAATGTCCAGCAAAGGCAAACTGTAGAGGCAGGAAGCAGATGGCTGGTTGTCCAGCGCTGAGGGTGGAGGTGGAGGTGAATGACTAACAGACATGGGGGGAGTTTGGGGGGTGATGGGAAGGCCCTCAAACTGGAGTGCGGGGGTGGCTGCACGCCTCTACAAATTTACCAAGAATCACTGCGTTGCATATCGATCATGGTTAATTATTGTGCGTATAAATGATCCCTCAATAAAGCCTTTAAAAAGAAGTCCTCATGTTTTTGAGGTTGTACAACCCTATTAACAGATAAAGCGGAAAGATGTCTGGGAACTGCTTCAAATAATAAGGGAGGGGGCAGTGGGAGGAAGGTACAGAGGGAAGAGACCGGCCAAGCACTGATCTTGTGGAGACTGGGTGGTGGGTACGCAGAGGCTCTTCTGGCTAATTTTCTCTAGGTCTGAAACTTTCCTAGTACACTGTGACCAAGAGGAGGGACAAGAACCCCAAATGCCACAATTACATCATGTCTAATTTAAGCTTCACTCTGAGGAGGCTTGTGACATCTTTTCTTTAAAGACATCTACACAGAATTTCATAATTCTATTGGAATTTTCAGGTAGTGAATAGTTTGGGTTCTGACCTGGTGAGTAACGCATCACAGAGAGTTGTTCATTTCCATCCGTGTGAACGGTAACCAAGTCCTTTGTTTCTGTGTCAAACACAAACCACCTGTTGTAAACACAAAAAGTTGTTTAATGAGAACATGAAGGCCATTACAATAGGGCTATTAGAACAGATTAAGCATAAAAGCTTTTCCAAGCTTTTACTCAAAGAAAATTTCCTTTACATAAGCAAGTCCTAAAGAACGGAACAGCATGCTGTCTACCATTTAAAAACATTCAGTGACCACCACTAACATGTGGCCTCCCAGTGCTTGCGTTTTGCTATTTATCCATAGAAGGAGAGAGAGCAAGAGAGATGCCAACACCTAGTTTCAGGCCTGTGGTCTGGGGAAGCAGCAGATACCTACGGGAGCCTATCTCGCTCTCACCCAGGGCGACCATCCGCAGGAGCCCGCCCAGCTCTCACCCAGGGCAACCACCCACAGGAGCCCACCCAGATCTCACCCGGGGCGACTACCCATAGGAGCTCACCCAGATCTCACCCAGGGTGACCGCCCATGGGAGCCCACCTTCACCCGGGGGAAGCAGGAGTAGTGTGGGAGGAGAGGCTGGGACAACTGTGTGGTGATGCTCTGAGCTGTGCTGTGCAGGTAGAGGTAGGCTGAGGTGCAGACCTTACATGTGAGTGCCAGCACGTAACTCACAGGGGGAGAGAAAGGACAGGGGAGGGAGGGAAGGAGAATGGAGGACTGCTCTCTGAATTCATCCTCTCGGGGGCCCAGTTTCCTTGACGGTAAGATGGGGCTAAGAGTCCAGGTCTATGCTGCAGGCTCAATGTTCATGTCAAATCACAAAGGCAGGGCAAGGCCCTGCAGCCTGAGGAGGACATGGTTCTCACTAAGTGCTGTAAACTATGAGGATAAGAGAATGCTTCTGCCTGTCCCATTCTCGGGGGGTGGCAGGCAGTGAGCCCAAGTGATTGTAAGGAGAAAACGGAACGCGGATCCCTGCGGTTCACCCTGGATCACTTGATCCTATCAGCATGTCTACAGAGGCAGAGTGACCTGTCTTCGCCTTCCAGATGGGCCCTCGCCATGACCACGAACTGCAGAGCATCTTGTCCTCCCTGAAATTTGGATTTTACTTCTCAGCACTGATTTCTTGTATCTCCAACAACTGTTTACCTTTAATGCACCATTTAACCCTAACAGAGGCCAAAAAACATAACACTCAGAGAGACTGGAGCCAACTAGAATACGCCTTTGAAAAGTTCTGTGAAATCGACACTTTGGGAGCCCTGCCTGGCGCTCAGACCTGAGACGCGGGAGGTGGAGACGATGGGAGAGATTAGGTTACACGTTCTGTCTCACCCACCCCTGGGCACTGTCTGTGGTTCTGAGCACGGTCACCATGTTTTACCATGCACAATGAATATGGTGACATCTGTCTGTCAGGCTGGCTGTTGGCCAGTCATCAGAAGGCGGGAGCCTGATGAATTTGAAGCTCCAGCTGTCTCAAAGAAAGTCAAATGGAAGGTGCAATGTGTGTATGTGTGTGTGCGCGTGCACGCGTGCATGTGTAATAGACTGTGCATTTTCACGAAGAATTCCTCCGAATACGTGGAGTCCAACTCTTAAGATATTGCTTCCTATGAATTACAAAGTCTTTCTTTATATGTACAGACTCATAACAATAGCATCTAGGTGGTACACTTTTCAGAGAGGAAGGATGGGATGAAAAATACCTGAATAAAACCATAGTAAATATATATATTATGATAAACAACATAATGGTCCCATCAAAACTTGCAAAATAATGATAATAATGACTAATCTAATCACCTGCCAGGCAACCCCGGCAGGTACCTTCAATCCTCAGTGCAACACAGCCAAGCAGGCCATGTTATCATAATTTACAGAAGAATAAACAAGTTCAGAGAGTTTGTGTAACTGGTTCAAAGACACACTGCTACTAAGAGGGAGAGCTGAGATCCAAGTGCAGATCTATCACCAGGCATATCTGTGGCGTCAGGTAAGCACGCACAAGTGAATTCTGAGTATGAAGTCCTGGATGTGGGCAGCTTCTAAAATTCTGAAAGGGCTGCTAGAAAAAGCACTAAAAGAAACATTTTTTCTCTTAGAGACAGGGTCTTGCTCTGTCACCCAGATTGGAGTGCAGTGGTGCAATCACAGCTCACTGCAGCCTCCGACCCCTGGGCTTAAGCCTCCGACCCCTGGGCTTAAGCGATCTTTTCGTCTCAGCCTCCCAAGTAGCTAGGATTACAGGTATGTGCCACCATGCCTGGCTAATCTTTTTATTTTTATTTTTTGTAGAGATGGAGGTCTCACTATGTTGCCCAGTCTGCTCCCCAACTCCTGGCCTTATATGATCCTCCTGCTTCATCCTCCCAAAGTGCTGGGATTACAGTAGAAAAAGTACTTTTAAATGTCCAGCACTTCTAAATGCTTTCTCACCTGATTCCAAAGTTGAGGCTCCTCCCATAGCCTCAAGATTAGGGCTTGAGAAGCTCCATAAATCCTCTGAAATGGCAAACAAAGTGTGTGTGTGTGTGTGTGTGTGTGTGTGTGTGTGTGTGTGTGTGTGTGAATGCCTTTTTCTAGGCAAGAGGTTCTATAGCTCTCCTCAGCTTTTCCCAAGTTCAAAGTGTAATGGACCATCGTTTTAGTTCTGACTTAATTCTTGGCAGGTCCTTAGAAGCCACGAGCTGAACCAGCCCGCCCCTGGGGAAAGACAAACAACAAGGAGACTCTTCCCATACTCTTTGAAAGCACAAGCCCTGCTGGCTGGACTTACCTCCCTGTGAGTGTTCCAACTGCAACCACAGACCCTGAAGGATGAAAACCAGAAGACTGAGCTGGATCCTAAAATATTTTAAAGGAAGTGTAAATTGATGGCCAGATACAACACTGCAGCATCAAACATACACACACAGCTCTAATTCCTGGGGCTAGAGGGCTCTATTGGAAAAATCTCTTTTCTCTCCAGAGAGAAAAATGTTTTCCTCCCTGAACAAATGCCACATTTCAATAATGCTAAAGTTTTATCCTTTTAGATTTTTTTCTCCTTTTGTCTTATACCCTTGCATATCTACAATAATCTGATGAAAGACAAACAAGTGAGTGCTCTCCTTCTAAGTCCTAGTTGACATAACCTAACCCTTGAGCTGACCCCTGTACTGAATGTAGGTGCATCAAATAGTGTGCTTAATCTGTCTGGATATATGGCCAGAGCACCCAGTTCCATTTCATCTGGGTGCCTACTAGGTGCAGGACCCTGTGGCAGCCCTGGATGGCTCACAAGATGGGTGAGACATATGCTCTAGGGGTACGCACACATTTGTTACTAACTCTAATACGAAGTGGGACATGTCAGATGAAGGCAGTAAAAACAAGGATCTGCGGGTCCCAGGGAGGGAGAGATGAAGTCATGCTGGAAGCTGGGCCAAGGTGTTATGGGGCTGGAGTCCTGGGCTTGGGCCTTCTGGCAGAGGAGGAGTGATCCCTGGAGTTGGCAGGGGGCATGGATATGCCGAGATTGTTTTTGACAGGGGTGAAGGAGCCACAATATGATCCCAGAGATGGCAGCTACACAGTCTGGGCATATATGAGGGAAAACAGGTGGAGGCAGTGGGTTTATAGAGCAGAATACAGGGGGTGGGAGGAAGGCTGTGAAGACACTAGGATGTTGGCTGCTTTGCCACCGTGGGGACTTGGATCGCTAGGAAATCAGAACACTGTTTCTTTTTTTTCTTTCAATAAGAAGAGTAACATGATGGAATTGGTGTTTCAGATTGGAGATCACCGGCGGGAGTGTGTAGGATGGACAGACGTGAGAAGAGACTGATCATAGGAAGATCAAGAAAAAGCAGGGATGGGGATGGGAAAGGGGACAGTCACCAAGAGACCGCTGGAGTGCCTAAAACCAGGAGACCAGAAAGAGACTTTCCAGATGTGTGATGACATTATTCAATGCCTTCTCCAAGGTGGGAGCTGTGACTAATCCCATCAGGGCTTAACCAACAGACCAGGGGCACCAGGAGCTTCATTATTCACAAAGCATTTGGGCTTCCACATAGTCTGAGATGAAGACACTGAGAGTTGAGGGGGCAAGTGTTCCTGCCCAACGTCATGGGGCTGGGAGGCAGAGGAGCCAGGCTTCACTCCAGGTACCTGGCGTCCAGTTCAGAGCTCCTACCCTCACGCCAGCTGAGTGATTCACAGCCTTGCATGGGAGTGGGAAACAGAGCAGCTGCCAGCGCTTTTGGTGGGGCTGCCAAGCTCACTGAGACCACAGGGCAGCCACCCTTCCTTACCACCAGGACACAGGCATGACACGGACACCATTTCCTTTAGCCCCTGCCACCATCTTGGCCTCTTCTCCAAGTGGCAGTGCTGCCCCTTGAGCCCTCCATCTTGACACTTGCGTGGCCACTAGTGACTGGCACTCCTAAGCACCCTTCTGGGAAAGTAAAGGGAAGGAGAGCCAGAACTCGAATCCAGCACTTGGGACATGCTGCAAGGATGATGCGTGTGGCCCAAGAGGAGCTATTCTCATCAATGGGACAGTACCAGTCATAAGGCATGGATGGCAGAGAGTGTGCTTTTGACTCACTGCAGCATGATGCTGTGAAAGGAGCTGAGTTTAAGAGTTAGACTGAGCTGGGGGTCAACACTGGCTCTGTCATTTACTAACTGGATGACCTGAGCAAGTTATCTAACATCGCTCAGCCTCAATTTCCTAATCAATAAAACCAAAGTAAAAAAACAAAAGCAAAGACAAAAACAAAAAACCTTGCACCTGCAGGGCTGCTGCAAGGATTGCTGTAACTTTTGTGCAGTGCTTGGCAGGCAATCAGTGCTCGAGAAATACACGAGTGTTTTATATGGAGAGAAAGGACATTGCAACACTCTGATAGGCAGGGCTCATTCTGAAAATTCTTCACAGAGATGCGTACTTCAAAACTATGGTTGTCACTTTACCATTAAACTCAAAATGTAGAGATAAATTAAACTGTATGTTTTCAGTACAGCTTGTAAATTCTGGTCCAAAGGGCACACTGTATGTAGACTGCAGCCTCTTAACAAGTATTTCTCAGCTCTTAAGCCAGTTAGGAAATCTGAATATACAAAGGCAGACTTGGTGTTGAAAAATTTAGGGGTAAATTTCAGAATTACATGGACGAGACCGCTCAAGGCAATGTTAAAAGTAACATTGTCAAATGCGATTGCAATGTTAAATCCAATTTCAAAGAGACAAATTAAATGACATTTGCTTTGGGTAACTTTTTATCATTATTGGTTTCATACAGAAGATAAATGAACACATTCCAGATGAATTTTTTATAAGAAAAAGGGAAACATAATTGTTTACCTCTATTATTTTGTCCCAGACGGGCCGGTGACCCACAGCATCCCAGAGTGTGGCGTGCTTGTCATGCCCGCAGGTCAAGAACTGAGGTTTTGAGGCATGGATGGCCAGTCCCCAGAGTTCATCAGTGTGACCCTGCAAAACCAGGACAAACAGGAGTTCTCTGAGACACCACAGGCAACACTCGGCAGCCCCAGGGATGAGCAACCCTGGCTTCCGGCTGTTGTCACAACCGCCCTCTCGTCTCTCCCCTCCGAGCTGGCTCGGAAACTCCCAGGTGGAGGAAGGTCATCTCGGAATAGAACACAGGAATAAGCCGCTCCTCGCAATGCTGGGTTATAGTTGGAGGCACTGCAAAAGGAGGGTGTCTGGGAGACCTGCTGAGTGGATCATACCTGTGTAATGGGTGCAAAGTCTCCTGACAGAGTGCCCTGGAGGACAAAGTTTCTCGTTGTGCCAATCAAGATGACATCACCTTTCCCCTCAGCCACTGTCCGAATTGGACCAAATTGCTCTGGAATCTGCATGAAAAGAATCATATGAAAAGAAGATTTATACTTTCATGACACTGCTAACTCAGTCATTCAAAATACTTGCTTACATATCATAATGATAGCTCTACACAGTTTATATATTTATATATAAAAATAAAAAGCGGGAGCTTTAGAAAGACAGACAGACACTACGGCCAGTTGCTGTAGTCAACCTTATTTTTAAGAGATACATCTTTTTATAGAGATACATTATATATATCTCTATATACCTTAAGAGATTCAGCAGGAGTGAGGTTAAGCAAAAGCGTTTTCCTTGACAAAATTTAAAAATAAGGAAAACTCCTGGCTAGCCTACTCTTTACTTGTGATGGCTCCTGACAGTAGTAGCAGATACAACTTGAAAAGTAAAGAATAATAAAACACTGCCATAACAGCAGCTCCTGAAAATCTGCTTGAGCTCGGTGGGCCAGGCACGGTGGGGCACACCTATAATCCCAGCACTTGGGAGCCCACGGCAGGAGGGTGGCTTAAGCCCAGGAATTCGGGACCAGCCTAGGCAACATAATGAGAACTTGTCACTGCAAAAAAAAGCAGAGTTAGCCGGGTGTGGTAGCATGCGCCTGTAGTCCTAGCTACTCTGGAGGCTGAGGTAGAAGGATCGTCTGAGCCCAGGAGGTTGAGGCTGCAGTAAGCCACGATTGGGGTCCAGGCTGCAGTGAGCTGTGACTGTGCCACTGTACTTCAACCTGGTCAAAGTGAAATCCTGACTCAAAAAATAAAACAAAACAAAACAAAAAGCAAAACCAAAAAACAGGTCAATTCTTTGGCAACATCAATGTTTAATTTAAAAATCCATTGTCTATATTGATAAGCATGGAATAATCTAGGTGTCAAGAAAAGGAATTTCAAAATACACCCACTAAGAACAATTTGCTTAACGGTGTAAGCAAAGTTCTTGCATGATAAAAAGAGCAAACCCCACAGCTGGCTCCTGGGGGGGTTCAGGCTGACCCTGGCACTCCAGTTCCAGGATGATGAGAAGCAGCCTGTCCTCTTACAAAGTCTCTCTCTCCAGTGTGCTTTGCTAGTACAGATTTGAGAAAAGTTGATGATGACCCATGTTGACCAAGAGGAGGCACTGATACGGACAAATGCTGAGTAAGTCTATGAAATCAGATAAGGCTTCAGGGCTTTCACTGCAGTTGCAACTCAATATGGATATGTCAGTAACTCTAGCAATTCGCAACATGTTCAATCAAATGCTGGTTACATCTTTCTATAAAAAAAAAATGTTATCACAACCATAATCTCCATGCAAGGGGAAGTGATTTCCAAAGATCAGACTAAGGCCTCCCTCTATTAAAAGCGATTGTCCACAGAACCACATTTTCATACAGCCAGAGAATGCTGCCATGCTGCTCTCTGACGTTATGTGTGTTATGTCTGACTTAGAAGTTGGAAAAGCCCTCAATGTGTCCATTCTATGCTAGGGAGGGAGAGCATCACCCTTCAGAATGATGCCAATTTTGTAATCTGTCTGCTCAGAACTTCCTGGAACCTGGGGAAGAAAACTCAGTGAGTGTGTAGGAGAAATATTGAATGTCTTGCCTCTGGCTTCTGCAGGAGGCAAGGCTGTCAACCAGGTAATAATGAGGAGAAGTGGCTATCCAAAGGTGTCAGAGCCCCGAGAGCATGCTGGCACTCAGCTGAGAGCCACAGACAAAACAGACACCCAACAAATATTAGTTCAACCAAAGAAATAATGTCTCCAAAATAACAGGCTTAAAAATTAAAAAAAAAATACTTTAATGATAAATCAAAATATGGATAATAGTCCCTTGGAAATTGAGATTGGTTCTACTATAAAATATTCTAAATATAAAGTGTGTGCTGTGACCTCAAATTTTATAGCCCAATTCCATTTTAGTAGCTATAGTTAAACTCCGTGATTTTTATGCACTCTCCCCATGTAATTTCATCTCCACAATTTTTAAAACTATAGATTTCAAACTAGCAGGGAAACTGGTTAGGATAACAGCTTGAAGGGGCAAATGAGTTTCCCAGCAGTCCTGCTGACTCACCTCTGTTTTATGAAGTTTCTGATAGTTTCCGCTCCAGGAAACGAGCCTGCGGTCCTTCCCGCCACCTGACACCAGCGTGCCATCTCTTAACATACAAAGTGCAAAGATGCCACCCTCGTGGGCCCCTTGAACTGCGTAGCTTATTCGATTCGTACCTAAACATGCCCAGAAAACCATTACTGGTACATTATCAAAAGGCTCGCCTCTGCCCATCTTCCAATTTCATTTCATTTCTGTGTTAATAGGCAGTATTGTCATTTAGAACATCACTGTGATATGAATCTATGAAGGCTCCAGTTTCTAGACGCTCCCAGAGCACCAGACAAGCAGGAAGCAGACTACTTTGGCAGGAAAGAGGACAGGCTAACCCAACACATTGTGTGGCCAGAGTGCACTGTGGCTGAGTATGGACTCGGTTTACATTCTAGCTCCAGCCCTAATGAGCTGTGTGTCCTGGACAAGTGACTTAATGACTTGGCATCAGTTCCCCCTGTTGTGGAATGGGGCTCCCGCTCAAGCTACAGGGTTGTTCCAAGGATGAAATGAACAGTTGGACAAAACACCTAGCACCAAGGACAAAAGTCGCCATACTATTCTGAAATTACATTTATGGGTCTGTCTCCCCCTTCACCCCCACCCAAATGCTAAGGTCCTTGGGCATGGGGATGGTGGTTTTCTCTTTTTTTGTCTGGCATCTGTGTGCACACTAAAGCAACTCCATCTTGGATGTTAATTCGCCAAGTTGTCTTCAGATTAACCACAGTTTCAGGAATGCCTCCGACCTTCTCTACCATTATCTAAATCCTGCCCTTAGGTCAAAACAACTTTGACCATAACTGCTGCCTTTAGGCAGATGCATCTAGCATCCTTACTGGTCCCTAAGGGGTTGACTTAAATTGTCCCACCCAACTCTTCCCTACGGTGTACAAGCTTTGGGTCTGGGAGGTGATGGCATGGGGGTCTACCATCCCATCTTGCTGTGGCTTCCATTTGTAAGTCCCTATGAAATGCTTCTTTCTGAGAAACTGGGTTTGTTAGACTCATTCTTCGGCTGCTCAGCTTCCAGGGACCTTATGGTAGGTCTGCACAGACCTGCTTACCACAGAACAACCTGGTAAGAGTTCATCAATGCTCACTGGACTTAACCGAATCCACATATGCTGAGTGATGGATCTTCCTTACAAAACTGCTCACTGACAGCGGGGGTCTGATCGGATTCATTTGTATGTTCACAGCGTTTGACAGATAATCAGCACTCAATAAAAGTGCCAAGGGCCCCATGAATCAGAATAGTTAAATATTTTCCAGGTATTTAAATAGTCACGGATAATGTCTTCATTATAATTTGTTAATAGATCTCCTAATAACGTTATTAATTCCATCGCAACATCTTGGGTTTCAGGAACTTTTTAGAATGACACAGGGTCAACAACTCCTATCATTTCCCATTTTCCTGTGTTCTAACTTTACAGTTTCAAGTTATACATGCACACATGCATGTATATGTCTATATAACTTGTACTTTAATGGTAATCCTGTAGATTGTATTAACAGACAGTTCTTACAGAAGCCACGCTTGACCTCTTACTTCCAACATTACCAAGAAACATTGGCTTTGGGAACAATCATGTGTTACCTTTTCCCCATACTAAGATGTTGCCGCTTGAATCTCCGGTAATGGTGTCACCATTTTCAGAAAAAGTCACACAGAGGACAAACTTTGGCTTCTCTTGTTTCTGCAGAATGTAGTAAATATATGTATATTTTTGTCAAGACATTCTTTTTAAAATTACAACAAATTTTGTGTGTGTGTGTGTATGTAGAGACAAGGTCTCACTTATGTTCCCCAGGCTGGTCTTGAACTCCTGGGCTCAAGCGGTTCTCCCGCCTCGGCCTCCCAAAGTTCTGGTATTATAGGCCAAGACATCCTTTATTTGCATCAGTAATATCTAGAATCACAGTGAACTCAAGCTAGACAGTGTCAGCTTCAGTCACCACCCTGAGCACCTTCCATTTTTATCAACCATTATGTAAAGCCTGCCAAGAGATTAACTGCTTTAAGATAAAGACACTTCAACCAATTCCAAATAGCCGGGAATCATCAAGTCTTAGAGAGTTCAAGCAGAGGAGGGTGTTGGAAGGGGCAAGAGGGGGCTGTCATGGCTGCAGCCTGAAGAACACAGCTCCCGCACCAAATGAAAGGGTCGTCAGGGCCAGGCGCGGTGCTCATGCCTATAATCCTAGCTCTTTGTGAGGCAGAGGCGAGAGAACTGCCTGAGCCCAGGGATTTGAGACCAGCCTGGGCAACTTGGCGAGACCTTGTCTCTACAGTAAATCAAAATGTTAGCCGGGTGTGGTGGCACACGCCTGTGGCTTCAGCTCCTTGGAAGGCTGAGGCAGAAGGATCGCTTAAGCCCTGCAGGTTGAGGCTGCGGTGGCCGTGAGCGTGCCACTGCACTCCAGCCTGGGTGACAGAGTGAGACTCCGACTCAAAAAATAAAAAATAAAAAATAAAATAAAACCAAGGGTACTTGGAATTAACCTCGGGGTGGCAGTGGCAAGTGGTCCCCAGGGAAGAAGAGGTGCTTCGCCTGGTGCTCCCCCAGGCCCCCAAAGGCCAGATAAAAGGCACAGCCGTCTCTATCACCGTCTGCAAGGCAAGCTGCTCTCCTCCTGTGGCATGCCCTGCCTCAGTCACACTGGTGGGCTCTGCGGCCCCTGGACTGCGTCCTGCCCTTGCCCTTCTCCCGGCTTGCTCTGTCCTCCTTCTTCACTTTCCTTCCAGTATCATCCACAAGATACAAGGAACTCCCCAACGATGTGAGGGATCCCAGAGGATGTTCTTTATTACCACACCCCCAGATGCATCCCCATGTTTGTCATTAAAACAAATTTTAAGAATGGGATAGGCTGGGCACAGTGGCTCATGCCTTTAATTCCAGCACTGTAGAAGGCTGAAGAGGGAGGACTGCTTGAGCCCAAGAGTTCGAGACCAGCCTGCAACAGAGTGAGCCCTTGTCTCTACAAAAATATTTTAAAAGTAGCCAGATGTGGTGGCATATGACTTTTAGTCCCAGCTACTTGGGAGGCTGAGGCAGAAGGATCCCCTGAGTCCAGGAGGTCAAGGCTGCGGTGAGCCATAATCGTGCCATTGCTTTCCAGCCTGGGCAACAGAGTGAGAACACAAGTTAAAACAAAACAAAACAAAACAAAACAAAAACGGGAATACGTCAAAGCTTCCTTAATATCTAGCTGATCACTTGTACTACTCAGTGAGAAATAAAACAAAAAATGTAATTTAACTTTACCTCAAATAACCCTTGCTTCTTAATAAGGGAGTTTCCTTCTAGTGTCCAAAAGTACAGATGGGACTTTCCACAGGTGACTATGATGTTGGTGTCTGTGGGGTGGAAGTCTGCAGCGAATACAGCTTCATTGGAACACTTTAAGAAGAACAAGAGAACTGAACGCCTCAATCTCTGAAGATACTTAGAAGCACTTAGGAAAATGAATATGATCTGAACCACAAATAGCAAATTCAAGCCAAGCACTATGCCTCCTGATATTTTTCCCCATCAAATTCATCCTGCTATAAACGTAAAGTGTATGTTGGCTGTGTGCCCTAACTCCCCCCCACCCCTTGTCTGTCTCTCCCAGTGGACCGTGAGCCCCTGAGGGTAAAGGGGACCTCAGAGTTGTTTCTGTACCAGGCCCTGCAGGGCTGGTGAGGCTTCACTGAGGAGGCTTTGCTGAGGAATGGGCTAGAAGAAGCAGGACTTCAGGACTGCAATGGCTTGCTCCCACCTGTCTGCCATGGGTTTCTGGCTGGACACCAAATCACCTGACTTGTGCTAAAATGCAGATTGCTAGGCCTCATTCCCCCGTCAGTAGTGGGAATCTCCAGGGAAGGGCCCTAGAATCTGGATTTTACACAGTTTCATTTGTCCTGACTGGCTCTGGCTGCCCTATTCCCCCTGGAGGGAGTCCCTGTTTCTTCTAATCCCTGGGACTCTGCCTGTGGTTCCAAGACCCAGCCTGGGGTCCCGTCAGGTGGATCCAGCTCGTTGGCTATCCCTTTGCCACTGTTTAACCTATATCCTGCCTCCTAAGACCTACACCCTAGTCTGCCAAACCTGGCCCTGATTGTTGGCTTATTTTTAACAATTCAGTAATATATTCTTGCACCTGGATAAAAATTTGCCTCTGATTATTTCTGACCTAGCAATATAGCAAGAACTTAAATACCTAACCACAACATGAGAAGGCAGGGCTTGGGCATGAAAACAAGTATTAGGAAACATGCCTGATTAGAATCAGGTATTGGGAACATTTGATTAGAAATGTGCCTGATTAGACAATGTCTACAGCCCAGATACCCAGAGAGAAAGTTAGGTAAGGAAGGTTAACTCATGGTAATTTTAATGTTAGATAAGGAAGTTTATCTAAGGTTAACAGATGCCAAGTGGTGAGTCTGAAGTCAATTCTATAAAAATAGGGAGCCAACGATGATTTTAAGAGAAAAAACCCAGAAAGTCATGGACAGCAAACCTGACATATTGTGCAAAATGGTTTAGAGGAGGTTAAAGCATTCCAGGGGTACCCCCTGCAGGAGGAATCCCATCGGGAGGTATTTGGGATGTAGCCAGAGACTCTGTCCAGTCTGTTCCACCATGGAGGAGCCCGAGCTGAGGCACCTGCCAATACCTGCCCTCCCTCCCCTGAACCGCAGGGCCTTGGGCAGTGAGCATACCTCACTCACGACCACACCTCCCAGGCCTCCCGGAGCCCTGCCAGCACACAGCAGGCATGAGGGTTTGTCAGGGGAATGAAAGAAAGCTAGCAAATAAACCACTGTATGAAATCAAAGGCTGCGAGAGGAGGAAGAAAAGAAAATCTCTCGGACACTGTGAAGAGAAGAGACAACCCTGACAGGACCTGGGGCAGAGTCCCGTGAGTCCTTGTGGGCCTCTTTCCATCACCAAGTCCGTGTGGCCGGAAGTATTTGACTGGAAGTGTGAGTCCCTGATGAGATGTGCATGGGCCCTCTGGATGAGGGGAGGGGGCCAGGGGCCAAAAGAATCCTAAGGTGAGAGCATTATGCCCAAGGCTGGGGGTGGGAATGGGCCAGCCCCAGGAGAAGGCAGGGCAGGAAGTTACAGTCATGCGGTTTGGAGTGAGACCTTCACATCAGCCAGCTTTTCTTCCTTCTGCCAGTCCCACACAGAGAGCACGTGGTCGTTGGAGTCATCCACGGCACAGAGATTGCTTCCTCCATTCTGGAAAGAAAACGTTATTCACGGGAAGACTATGTTTGAGAATAAAATGGGTTGAACAGGAGGAACAATGAACATCAATTTTATTTATTAAAGAGTCGGCTACATTAGAGTTGAAAAACATTCATCCACCACCTTTGAGACCTGTTTTCTAGTCCAGATAGGAAGGGGCAGTGAACGAGGAGTAGAGATGGGACAGAAGTGGGAAAGAGAGATTAGGGTGGCTCTTCACAACTGGGTTCCATGAAAGCCAGCCCCAAGGCAGTTCAGAGGTCCTCCTCCTAGAACAGATGGTGCCCATAGCAGGCATGGCACTGGGGCTGTCACCACCTGTGGGCATGGCCCCTGGGAGACAGCACAAGGACTAAGCATTGGGGGTAGGAATGCATGTGGGTATTTTGACGTGTACATGTGCATGTTTTTGTGAGTATCAGGTTCTGAAGTGGCTGGAGACATGGTTTACAAGAGTGTGGGGTTGCATCTGTGAACCAGCACATCCCAAGGAAGCTTGGAAGACCACGAGGCCTTGCCCTGTACCTTCTTGTTGATAGGCAGTGAGCCAGTCCCTGCTGGGATGGCAGAGACAGACACATAGGAGCCACCTGTGAAGGGACCAGGTGAAATTCAGGCAGGAGCAGGCAAACTGCTTCATGGAACATGAGGACCATGTCCCTGGGGGCCCTCTTTCCATCACTAAGCCCACATGGCTGGAAACGTCTGATTAGAAGAGTATGTCCCTGATGAGATGTGGGGACTGCAAAGCAGGAATGTTTGAGTTCAAGTCTGTACATGCACCCGGGCAGTTATTGAGAGTTAACTCTCCCTCCTCGTCCCTACAGAGGAATTCTGCAATACTGACAGGCTCATACTTACAGATTTTGAGAATGCAATACAGGTGACGGCTCGGTCAAAGAAACCTGTTCCAATGACATGCAGAGTATTCAAGGTCACAGAATCCCAGATGCGTACATGTGGGGGCAGTTGCTGTTTGGAAAAAAACACAGTCTCAAACGTGACAGTTGTATAAACTTATGTTTACCCTGATGCTACAAGATACTTTGGGCAGTCACATGAATTTTGCCAAAACAAAAGGTCTTTTTCTGCATTTTGGAGGTCTGCGTTTTCAGGTAAATAAAACATTCCCCATGACTTCAGGAGGTCCTGGGCCCTGTGGACAACTGAGCAGTTAGAAGAGGTCTACCAAGTTTTAAAATCAGAAGAGCTGGTTCTTGACAACTAACTATACAGCAGGAGCTAACACTCTAATTTGTACGTCGAGATGTCCCTAAATTTTAGAAATAAAAAATGGCAAGCAAAACAGAATCTCACATAAGGGTTATTATTCTTTTAAAGCCTGTCTTGTTACTTGTCAGCATGTCAAAGTTCATCAAGATGGACACCACCAATTAGTATTAAGAGCTTAACATTCTTGGGCTAAACAGGCAATCAATTACGCACAAATAGAATCTAGAATTGTGATGATTAGTTCAAAACCCTCTCTACTGGGTTCCTAGGTATTTATTTAGGCTAACTTTTCTCTTCCTCAATAGAAGAGAGCATCATAGAGCAATCAGCAGATTTATCAACAAGAAAAGGTACCAGCATTGCAGCTAGTGGATCAACTGGGTGTTAGGTTAACTGAATTCTAGGCCAGTCTGGACTCTAAGTAGCTGCGCCTCCCTTGACAGTCAGGAGGCTGTCTCCACAGGTAAAATGAAAACTATAACATTTTTCTCTGGTTCTAAAGTTCAGACACAATTTCAATGCCAGAAAGTGAAATACACTTTTAAGCCACTAGAGGGAGGAACAAATGGTTTACTACTAATTTCAAGGAACTTTTCAAGGCCATTTAACATTAAAATGTGTGTGTGTGTATACTCATTCCATTTATGTGAATTTATACAATAGCAGTCTGATTCCCATTATGCCTATTAACTCTTTGCAAGTGAAGAATTTTAATGGAAAATAGCATAAGGTTAATATTTAAAATCCAATGTTATTATAATAATTTCTGAAATATAGGAGTATTCATGTTTTCTGTAAGAAAACATGATGATAAAAATGTAAGTACTTAATGTAATTAGTTTCAGATAATATATTATGCAATAATAAACTACAGAAAAGTAGATATCAAAAAACTACAAGTTCCCTCTCTTATGCCTTAACATACAAATTAAAGTTTTGCAGAAGTGCTTACAAAATTTGTGCTAAAAACTTCCTAGCAACTTTTGTGACTTACACACAGACACAAACTTCATGGTTAAAGTTAAAGTTTAACTTCATGGTTAAAGTTAAATGAATACCGGTGGACAGTGTCTGAAATTTGTTAAAGATACAAAAACCCTCTGTTTAAATGAGCACTTGTATTCAATATGATTTTAACTTTATTTGCTAAATGTGTATCTTTATATTTCTAATGCTCATCATGTGTGTAAATAAGCATTTTAAGAATTAGTGAATTTCCGCAAACACAATGCTACTTGAACATTTGCTTAAGTTAAGGTGAACTCAAGGGATTTTTAAGATCACTGTAAGACTTTTCAATTTACAATGAAAAATCCCAGTGAGGGGTTCAGAACCATTCAGGTACTCTATCTCTATCTAAGCAGTCCTAACCATCAGCAAAATATTTTGAGAACATTACTTTGTGAACAGGCTCATTACACAAAAATTAGGAACATATAACAGAACTCACTTTTCCATCCTTAGATGTGCCTGCGACTTGTCCTGTTGCTATCGTGATCTTATCAGGATGCACCGCCAGGCTAAAACAAAGAATATTTATAAAACACCTTCACGTTCAAGGTAAGCTTTACTCTTCCCTTGCTCAAACATAATCTAGTAAAAAAAAATTGAAATATTAGAAATACATAACGCCAGTTGGATGGGGTGGCTCACCCCTATAATCTCAATACTTTGGGAGGTGGAGGCAAGAGGATTGCCTGAGCTCAGGGAGACCAGTCTGGGAAACTTGGTGAGACCTCATCTCTACAACAAACCAAAAAATTAGCCAGGCGTGGTGGCATGCTTCTGTAGTTCCAACTATTTGGAAGGTTGAGATGGAAGGATAGCCTGAACCTAGCAGGTTGAGGCTGTAGTGGCTATGATCATGCCACTGCACTCTAGCCTGGGTGACAGAATGATACTCTGATTCAAAAACGGAAATATATAAAGCTAACTTCTTACAGTCTCAGGACAGATTCACTGAGCACTTCAACCTTAGATAACCAGTGTTTGTTTCATTTCATCTTAATTCCCTTATTTCTTCTTAAGAATTTTCAAACTTAAGGAAAAAGCATCCTTTGCAGGGAAAATACCATTTCAATCTCAGAACACTTAATTAGTCTACACACTTCATTATGAAGTCATTTTGAGTATATTAAATAGGAAAGATTATCTTCTGCTAACAATATTTTTATCCTTGATCTGGGCCCAGGACAGAAACAAATACATAAATCCACCTATTCATCCATCCATCCATCCTTCCAAGGTACATAAAATCCTGTCCAAAAGCATGTATGAATTAAAAAAATAGCAGAACCAGTCATAAACATAAAACAAAGTATTTTTATTTTTATAAAAAAATAAAGATCTGGTCAGGTATGGTGGTTTATACCAGTAACCCCAGCATCTTGGGAGGCCAAGACAAGAAGTTTGCTTGAACCCAGGAGTTTAAGACCAGCCTGGCAACACAGCAATACCTCATCTCTACAAAAATAAAAATAAAAAAATTAGTCAGGCGTGGTAACATGTGCCTGTAGTGCTACTATCTACACAGGAAGCTGAAGTGGAAGGATCGCCTGAGCCCAGGAGGTTGAGGCTATGGTGAGCTGTGATGGTGCCACTGCCCTCAAGCCTGGGCAACAGAATAAAACATCAACTAAAAACAAAAAGACCCAAATGAGAAGCCTTTGACATGTGATGTGATGTGTTAAGAAGGCCTCTGAGTGAGCGGAGTTACAAATTTAGGCAATGTGATTGGACTGGTTAAGGTTATGCACTGCAAGGCTAGAAAGCTAGAAATGAAAAGAGTCTTACAGAGCCCAGCAGTGCACAGACAATGCAGAGGACACCACGAAGAGCTTTCCCCAAGGGTTCCATTCACTCAGACCCTTTCTTCTCTTTAGTCCTGTCCCGATACCGGCCTCTTTCTGCTAATCCTAATCCCACCTGTGCAGGAGGACTCACGCGCCCGGGACCCACCACTTGACGTCATCGTTGTGGCCCGCGTAGTGCCTCTGCAGCTGTTCCTCCACGTTGTACAGCACCACCACAGACGCGATAAAGTAGACGGTCTCCCCCGTCGGAAGCAAGTACAGGTTGTTCCGACAGTCTCGACCCCTGTATCCATAGCTTTGTGAACGTTAAGACAACAACTTTTAGGCTGGGAGCAGTGGCATGCGCCACCACGCCCGGCTAACTTTTCTTTGCTTTATTGTAGAGATAAGGTCTTGCCAAGTTGCCCAGGCTGGTCTCAAACCCCTGGACTCAGGCAATCCTCTCACCTCTGCCTCCCAAGGTGCTGGGATTACAAGTGTGAGCCACTGCGCCGGCTTTTTTTCCTTTAAGAGCTAACAAAACATCAACTGAAATAAAATCTCATAAGCTTATTGCCATCAATGTCACTAATTTAAATAACAGTAAATGGTAATTAGTGCCAAATATATCTGACTTTCAACACGCACGTGGTAAAGTTGGAAATGGTCACTGCTGCAATGTGAATACATATTTTTTACCCACACAAAGATTTGTTTTTACCTTTAGAAAGTTATTGAATCAATTATGAGTTTATTTTTTAGTTGTGATCTGGGAGCTAATTCTTTTACTAAAAAAAAACCCTTTTGTTTTTGTTTTGTTTTTTTTTTTGAGTTGGAGTCTCACTCTGTCGCCCAGACTGGAGTGCAGTGGCTGCTCCCGGCCACCGCAGCCTCGCCTGCT